GGGTGGGGTTGGACACACAAACATTCAGACCACAGCAGAAAGTAATATAAAGGACACACATAGTGTCCAATCAGTTTAAGAGATGACAGCATTACAGCATTGCCTGTCCATCCCTCCTTAGTCACATCCACCACCTCCTCCCCCCACTGAGTGACCTAAGGAGTGGGAAGGTGAAACTCTCTTTGAAGTAAAGCCTTTGTTACAGTTCTTTCACCTCACACTAAAATTCTGTGTAGATAGTGTTTAGATCTGGAATCATTTCTAGAGGTTCTTAATAATTGATGAATAAGCAGGAAGATTGGGCTCTTGCTCTAACATAAGCTCTTACCCGTATTTTCTTTTCATCATTATCGCAGGGTCCGGGACATGTTGACTGATGAGATCACCAAGTCTGCTGCAAAGTAAGATCCGTTTTTTCTCTTGCCAAAAATTTTCTATAAACATTTTTGTCCTGCAAGGTATATACAATTTCTCCTTTTAGGGTATTTCATAACTTTAAGAATTTTAAAGGAGTTTTCAATAACTTTTTTTAAAAATCAGTTATCTTTTCTCATACTAAGTTAATTCTTACTACTTGTCTTTTTGTACAAAATACAGAGGAATCCATACAAACACATACTTTTACATCAAGAGTCTACTGTTGTACAGGTATCAAAGTGCCCCGTGCTGACTTCGATTTTTAAAATTCTAATTTAGTTCAGGTGGTGGGGGTGGGTGCGGAATCCTTGCTAACGTGAATTAATAAATAGATTATTAAACCTCAACTGTGAGCTAGCAACTAAATCAAAGAAGTACTGCGTTTTGTTCCCTTTGTGTTATAGGTCCAGGGTATCTAAACATTGAATTTTTAAATACTAGAAACTAATGTGAAGATCCAATAAAATAAAATAAAAAGACAGTTTCAGTCATATCCTTATGGTTGTTTTAACAAAAATAACTTGAGTATTACTATCCTAAGGCTTTTTATCTTAAGCCAACTCTAAGAAAATTATACCCTGATGAACTTGCTTAAACCATCTCTTCAGTTTCCTTTGTTAACAAGCTGACTAATTGTTTCTGGCAGGAAGATACAGTCCATACGCTTCTGCCTTCCACCATCACCTTCAGCTGCTGACGTTCCTTGACGTCCTTCCTTCTTGTCACCAAACAGCACAGATAGACCTTTAACCTAGAGGGTTTTGTGCGCACTGAAAGTCCATTATCCAGAAATATTTCATTGCAGTCTAGTTTATCCCTGTGTCCCCAAACCTCTGTAGTTCAATAGATTTTGCCTTAAAAAAACAAACACACACAGATCTACCTTAGAGTTGGCTTCCCACCAGTAATTTCTTAACCAGGCGCTAACCGTGAAGCTGGTCTCAGTCCATGATCACTCCTCAGCCTCACGTCTCCCGAATAAAGGCAGATAGGAGCGGTAATCCTCTGCACTCAGTTATGTGGGAGGCACTGAGAGCTATCTGTTGACATTTCTGTTGACAAAATGAAAATTAAAGTACCAAGAGACTTCCATAGGGACTCATTTGTGTCTGCTCACCTAGTTTGGTGAACTGCAGACCCAGTGGGAGAGCACTCACTACATATTGGAAGCGAGAGGCGCTGGGATGGGGGCTGTCTTTGGCCTTACCTCTTACAGTTTGTTCTATATTAGTCAACTTATATCTTTATGTCCTATTAAAAATGGTGCTCTGACATGTGCAGCGAAAAGCTCGAATGCTGAAGAAACTAGCATCTTCCTATTAAAACAAACTACAATTTTGCCCCTCTTAAATTTTCCATGCTAAATTTTTTCAACAAGACTTTAATCTTCAGATTTCCAGAGCATCATTTTCATGACTAATACTTAAGAAGAGTGTGTTCCCATTCTCAGTGGTACAGATTAAAAATAATTCATGTTTTCTTAGTGTTACATTTTCATCAAAAATTTCAAAACATTTTATAGAGCTTCTCTTAGTAAAGCAATCCTGACAATATTAGGCATGACAGCAAGTGAATGGGAGATAGTTAAGGTCTAGAGGCAAAGGGATTAGTGGCAGAGCAGGGGAAGTCACTCGGTCTCCCTCCCTTTGCTTTCTCCCACTGACTTCCTCCAGCGGTGTGAGGACCCCACCAGCACCTCCTGCCAGCTTAGCCTTCTGTTCCTTGGACCACGGTGCCCCAGGCTGGTTCGAGCAGCATAGGACTTATTCTGTTCTGAGCCATAAGTGCAAAGCGGGAAGTAAAACAGCAGTCACCGGGTTAGACAGATTTGCTTATTTGAAAACATTTATTTCTAAAGCATTGGAGTTAGGGCTGAGGGAGAATCAGAACTCAGATACAACCTGATGATTGATGTAAGTTTATTTTCACTGTTATTAATTAAATAGATTTGAACCTGAAGATAAAAATCCCCAAGGGATTGGGTCGCTTTACTAATATGTAAAGTAATACTTTGTCCCCGAGAAGGCATCATCGCAGCTCATCCTTCCTTGTGCTTTTTAATTAGGTTAATGGCATCAGTTTGTTTCAAAGGACAATTTAATTAAAATGTCAGTGGTGCTGCCTAGATAAATACTGTACTGATGCTGACATGTCATTATGCAAATTAGTTACTACCACTTGACTGTAGGGGACAGTTATTTGATCAACAGGGTGATGAGTTTTTACTGAACCAGTTGTAGATTTTCTCCTGCCCAGCTCCTCCTTGAATTTGTTTCACTAAATATGTATTGAGTGTCTTCTCTCCATAGGTCGCTGTGCTAGGCATGTAGGGAACACACAGATGGTCAGGAGCTGGTCATGGTACCTTCATGAAACATGTAGCTGGGCCTAAGTATGCACTGTGTAACTGTGGACTCGTTTCTTTTATTATTATTCAAAGATTAATGTCCAAATTTGCATTTAATCTGTAACCAAAGGTCTAATTAGAGGTCGCTTTAGGTACATATTTCTCCATTTTACAAGAAGCAATACATGCTCAGGAATGTCAAGACCACTGAAACTTTTGAAATAAAATCATTTGGAGCACTGTTTTAAAACTGAGGCTAAATTCTCTTTCAGAATTTCAGAGTTAGAGAGATACTTTTTATGTTACCTTGTCTACTGTCCTTGTTTTAAAAGATGTGATACCTGATTTCTGGTGACCATCAGTTTTTCTACAGGGTGATAGAAACTGGGGAGCTAATTCTCAGATCACTGAGAATTTAAAACTATTTTTTACCTAGTTTTAGGAATTTACAACCATTTTGTAGCATGATGGGCTTCAGGATATTCTCAACTAAAAGAGATAATAGAAATAAGAGATTTAATTTGGGTTTTGTTAAATGATTTCATGGCTAGGGCACCCAGGAACACCCAGATCTCTAGCAAAATGTCAGGTGAAGCCATCTGCTTGGATCACAAGTGTCTCTTCCTACACATCCCCTAATATCAAGGTGGTTTTATCAGCTTAAGGCAGGTCTTGGGTGAATAAATGGCCAAGTGTGCAGGGCAGTCTTCACTGAGCTTAACCACCCCAGGGTGGGAGATGGAGGGAAGGAGGGAATCGATGAATAGGTGGATGGAAGAACCTGAGCGTGGCACGTCCTGAGTCCCATTCTTACCAAATGGAAGCAAAAGCACAGGAACACATGTGCCTACTATTTTTTTAATACTCACTAAACTCACATGTCCAGTCATGACCCTGTCATCTTCATCCCACCTATCTGTCTGTCCCAGCGCTGGGGCAAGCAGGGAATAGTTCTTGGACGTTTGCACTGACTCTGGTTCAGGGGTCAAGCCTAGGTTTGGGGAGACAGTCCCTGTGTTTCTGGGAGCCCACAGTCGTAGGACTAGCTGAGAACTGAACTCTGAGGCCGCGGGTGCTCTGCTGCCTGAGGTCTGTGAGGTCAGAGCTGGAAGCCAAGAGCATGTCATCAGTGTCCCACCCGAGATTGCTCTACAGGATCTCCTCGGAATGATGGGATAATACTGAATGTGCACTTTCAAGTGAGTATAGTAACAAGGCTCAGTTTCCTGGTACTAAATTCAGAAGTCAAATTTAAGATTTTGCTAATATTAGAAAACTACCATTTGGATGACATGAAGGGCAACTCTCAGTCCGAATCATCTAAAAACAGGCCTTCTTTTGCATCTTATCTAGGGCCTCGAAGTGATATTACAAACTGACTTTTAGGTTGCTGGCTTTGACGAATTAGGAGAAAGAAGGGAGGGTAATAACGGCTTCTGGGAAGGTGCTGCCTGGGGGCTCACTGGAAGCTGGGCCCACACAGCGCTCAGGAGGCCCGAGGCCAAGCCCGCTGTGCAGTGTTTGTTCACCAACTGTCCTGGGTCATGGTTTCCGAACAAATCGATACATTTATAGTGGCCCCAGGTGACAGAAGAAGGTAGCTTAGGACATGCAAGGTCAAATGATGAAATAAAAAGTTTAGGAAGAACTTAGGTATGATGAGCTTGGATTTTTAAGTTACAAATAGAACAATGACCACACGTGGGTAAGACTTAAAAATCAGCACCGATGGCGGGAGGGAAGGAAGCTGCCGGCACCGGGCAAGGCAGAGCTGTGCTCGCAGGCTCGGGACTGGAAGCGCCTGCCCTCGCCTGCCCGCCCTGGAGTGGTGCCTTCTCTCCTGGGCAGTGCCCCTGATCCTCGCTCGGAATTTTCTTCTTTTTAAACAGGGAGAGCCCGGTGGTCAAAGGCAATGCGCTGTTAGCCTTAAGCAGCCTTGCTGTCGTCGTGTCCAAGCATGAAGCCAGCCTCTCCTTGGATGCTGACGGGGCCCTGGAGGTGAGTTAGGGGTGCTTTGAGCCAGTCGGGCTTCGGCTGGGTAACATCTGAGAAGTGAGACGTGTCTGGCAGTCTCACTCTGAGTTCAGGAGCGTACAGTCTGTCCGCAGCACCAGGTCCTGCCAGCTGATGGGCCTCTACACTGAGCTCTTGTGTCCCTAAGACACTTCTCTTCGCAGCTTTTCTGTTTTCCTTTCTTCATCACAGTTAAGTGGTCATTTCAATTTGAAGGGGCCAATTTTATGCAGCAGGGGTTGTCGTTCTGTGATTACATCAGTGGTAACCAATCTTAGGAGGTTAACTAGGCCTACTGAAAGTGAACAGTGCTGTCAAAAAATGACAAATCAGCAGTGTTTACTGACTGAAAAAAATTATACTTTGCATTTTAATTGTAGACGTGAATGACAAAGTGCCTGTTAATTTTTGCAAGGCATTTATTTCTTAATTAAACATGTGGCGAGCAGGCCAGTGTTCCTTTCCAATGTACTTTTTCAGATAATTCATATCTGTCAAAATAAAAAGGTGTGGAGTTATTCTTCGTACTGGTTATCAGAATCTGTAGACAACATAGTCGTGTGGCTAAAAACATGGCCTTTGGGGTGGGAGAGTCCTTTATTTAAATCCTAATTGCTCTATGGCGAGCTGTTTGGTGACTTCCCTTTTCAGAGCCTATTTCACCATCTATAAAATGGGGTTAATGATATTAACCAGATAGGATCATTGAAGGATTAAATAAATTAATATACGGGAAGCACAATGGCTGATAGATGCTAACCTCTCAGTAATAGTCGCCATTAGCATCAGCATGTGCTGCATCACTTCTTGGTGTGAAAGCTGGATTTATTCAGTACTATTCAGCCTGTGTCTATGTCCACTGAGTGTCTTATGGGCCATCTGCACTGTTTTTTAACTCATTTTATCTTTACAACAAGCGGTGGTAGGTGTAATATTCTTTCCTATTTTAAAGACAAATGCTCAGAGAGGCCACACAGCTTTCCTGAGGTGATACAGCAGTTAGCGGTACCAGGATTTGAACCCAGGCAGCCTGACCTGTTGTATGGTTTTCTTTTCACGCTGGGTTTGTTGTTGTTGTTGTTATTGCAAACAGAGAAAATGGCTCTTGTTTTAAAAAGGAACTAGAAGGATAAGGAATCTGGAAGCCAAAGGGATTGAAGGCAGAGCTTAAAAATTGGGTTCTGGAAAGAACAGTAACTGTGGCAACTTGGGGAGTCCAGGCACAGGTACTGAGGTGCCATCTCAGCAGACCCCCGCCCACACTGGGATGGGTCAACCCTAGTCATTTACTGTCTGCATCACTCAAGGTTTAGAGCCCCATGGGCCCCTGCCAGCACTTGGGGCAGAGAAGGACACGTCACTAGACTGAGCATTTAACCAAGCTTCAAGTCACAGTGGAGGGAATTCCCCAAAGGGTGCTGTCACCTGTGAATGAGAGTAGATGCCCTGTGGCAAAGCAACCACTTGTATTACAAGTGGGGAAGGGAAACAGGTCAAGAAATTATTGTATCAAGGATAAAAATGTAACAGTGGTTGCTTACTCTATGAAAATTTAACTTTAAACCCAGAATCTTATTTTAATGATGGGAGGGATGACATTTTTTAAGAGAGGAAATGTTTCATATCCTTTAAAAAGAGCCATGCAGTTGTACAGGTAATAAGGGGTGTGTGTGTGTGTGTGTGTGTGTGTCTAAGAGTTTGGACTCCAGGCCCTCTAATTCCCAGCCTTCAGTTCTGCACTGTAACACACAGTACACAAAACATGGGGAGGCCACAGCCCAGAGCTGGAACTTTGCTTTTATTCCTGGTGACCTTGACTTTGTCCGTTACTCAGTATAAACTCACGACCTCATTATTTGATTCAAGTTGAAGTTTTCAAACTTCATTTAAATCTGCGTATGAGCAGTAGCCAAAGAGCTTAAGGAGGCAGCCTTATTTGATTCAAGGGCTTAATTCCAAGGAGATACTTAGCACTGCATTGACCTTTGTAGTTTGTATGACCTGAATATACCATGTGAGTTATGAATGCTTTTGACATCCAGGGTCATGAATGATTTCTAAAACCAAGTTCTCTTTTTAATGAGTTGGGTTTTGTTGTTGTTTTGTTTTTCCCCTCTCTTTCCTTTTCTTTTCCAAACTGAAAATCAATTATGTGTTTATGACTGATCAGGAAAGAAAATGTGGTGTTTCTTGAATGCTAAATACATGGCGGTAGCAGAAATGCTAGCGATGGTTGATCAGAATTTTGTAAGCAGCTTTTTGCCTCCTTTGTGAAATGACAAGTCATAGAATTGAGACATTCTGAGTGGCTCTCTCTGCATGCCTTCCTTTAACTTCCACGCTGTCCTCACTGAACTCGGGAGAGCTCTGCAGAGAGCTCTGAGTGTGGTCTGTGTTGCAGCCCCATCCTCTCCTTTCTGTTAAGTTTCGTATAAAAGGTAAATATTTCTGTTGGGGCTCAGGTGATGATGCGTGTTTCTCAAATACCTCCTTCAGTCCAGGCAGGTGAAGTTTACTTTCTGATAATAGCACTTCTTTCTTTAGTGCAGAAGGGGGTTACACCCTGAATCTAGAAATAATGTTTAGGCTTTTCATTTTCCCCATTATTGTTTCATGTTTTTCCTCACCTGCAGGTTCAGCCTAACTTCCTCTCCATGGAAGACTGGGTTTCCATGGTGTTTGACACTCTCCTGGTCCTCGTGGACAGCCACTACCAGCCCAGAGGACAGCTTTTCTCCTGGTTTTACTATGTAAGTCTGAGAAATAAAAAGGGATTAGCAAACTCAGGGGTTAATTCTTCTCATATTACTTATTCACCTAAAATCCATGATGACCTATAATGATTCTTAGGTGTACATTAGAATCACTGGGGGAACTTTAAATATACAGGGTGTTCCAAAAAAGTGTATACACACTTTAACAGCTGATAGTCCAATTTTGAAAGTGAAATGCATTTTAATAAATACTGCCTTTACCTTTATAATTATTCAAAGTGTGTGTATACATTTTTTGGGGGACACCCTGTATATATATATATAAAATTGAAGAAAGAAAGACCCATGTGTAGGCCTTACCTCTGATTTCCTTGCTCAGGGATAGGCCTGGGTATCAGCATTTTGGAAGTGTTCTAGGCTATTCTAACATGTCAGGGTCAAGAGCTGTATTTATAGTAAAATAAACCCTGGCTGCAGGTGGGACCCTGAGTTTCTTGTTATATATATATATTTCTTCCCATTTCAGGGGGTGTGAGCTTGGGCAGCTCACTTAATCTCTCAGGACCCTTGTTTCCCCGTTTATAAAACGAGGCGATTGGACAATATTACCTATAGGGATTGTAGCCCCAGCTTCATCCCTTGTTTATTTTGTTACTATTGACCTAACACTTGGCCCATCGTCTTATTTTCCTTATCTGTAAAATAAAGGTAAAAACTGATGCTTTGCCAACTTTATAAAAGATTGTGAGGACCAAATTACATAATTTATAGAAAAAATCTTTTGAAAATTATGAAATACTTTGTAAATACAAAGTAATACTGTTGATCATAAGAAAGCACCTATTAGTCATTCCCTCTCTTCATGCTTATATTCTAAGATTTGAAGCAAATTGAAAACACACTCTTTTGTTTAGGTTTCATTTTCCCTTTGGCTGTAGCAAATGCTTTATTTCTGTATCTGTGAGGAATTATTTTGGTTCTGCCTTATCACTATCCATTGCTTAGGGAATTACAGTGATCATGGGGCAATCAGCTGAGTGGCAGAAGATTAGAGCTGATTTGAATAAAAATATAGCGCAGGTCCTGAACAGTTGCTAAGATTGGGAATGTAGCTGCAAGTCCCCTGCCTTAGGCCTTCTGTCCCACCTGTCCTGCCCTCGGGGGACCGGGTATGTATTCAGCTGGGGCTGAGGGTCTGGCACTAGATTTTTAACTATACTTGAAGACAAAAAAAATGACTTACTAGATAATGTAGAAGTAAATTGGAAGGTAGATTTTGCTCATGGGAGTACTTTCTTTACGATGATTTGTTTTCTGTTGGAAGTGTTCTTATTTCTTAATGATGGATGAAAATTTTGTTAGATTATAGGAGGTCTTCGCAGTAGCTCTCTGGTTCAGATATTCAGCAGGACAGGATATTGTATAGGTTTCTAATAATGCTGTTAGTTATTGCAAACCAATATAAATAATAGCCTTATAGCTAGATCAGGGTTGCCTCTTACCTTTGTGGGTTTTGCCTCCTTATACTCTTTCAGAGCCTTGTTTCAAAAGTCACTTTTTTCATTTCCAGTGTCCCAGGGGCTGGGTCATTTTGAGTACTATTGTCGTTACAATGGTGCTATATTAACGAAAGAATACCTTAGCACATGTTTGATTTTTACCCTTAAAGTACTAAAGCTTAGAGAGCAGATGCATATAGAATTAAAAACACCTTAATGTGCCTGGCCCGGCATGGCTCAGCGGTTGAGCATCGAGCTAGGATCCAGGTGATCGGGGTTCGACTCACGATCAAGCCCGGGTTGTGGGCTCGATCCCCAGTCGGGGGTATGCAGGAGGCAACCGATCAGTGACTCTCTCATCATTGATGTTTCTGTCTCTCTCTCTCCCTCTCCTTTCCTCCCTCTGAAATCAGTAAAAATATATTTTAAAAGAAAAAACACTTTAATGTACTTGGACTACCAGAGATGACACCGCCTTTATGGGGTGTCTGAAAATTTGCAGTGGATAGCAGTGAGGAGCGAAATGGACTTTTGTGCCCGCTTGGACATGTTCGTAGGTGTGTACATGTCCGGCAGGGCCCTCGAACATGACTGGGGGGAGCTGTTCAAATCCCACTGCCCGGTCGTGGTGTTTGGGCTGCTGTTCACTTCTTTCCCCACAGTTGCGTCTAGGAAGGAGCACGTAGAGCTCTCCATTTCATTTTCAATGCTGGCCATTGCTTTGTAACCAGAGGCTTTTAGGGTTTCAACTTCCTTTTTAATTAAAAGGAATTAACCCCCTGTAGGAAATAATCCATCTACTGGGAAGCGTTCCCACCAAAGATTTTGGGAGGTCTGCCAATAGGCCCCTGTGCTAAATTTACACTTGTCCCTCCATAGGGAACCCCACCTGCCCCCCACCCCCGCCCTGTCTTGCTCTCCCGGAAAACTCGGGCTTTCTGGACATCTGTAGTGCGGCGGGGTGGTTTCTCCCAGCTTGGATAGCTTCACGTGGGGTTTTTCATTCTATACGCATGTGGGTTTTCGAAACACTGAAATTGTTCCAGGCTTTCTAGTGAGGGAATTCACACCCTTTAAAAGGAGGCATTTAGAATTTGTTTCTTCGCCTTTAGAAGGATATTATTAGTTAACGGATTGCTCAGCAGCCAATTGTTTCAGTGAGAGTGAAAACGTAACCTGTGCGCCAACCCAGCCACAGAGTTTTTACATTATTCCTTCGCTCGGCAGGGGTGGGTCTGAGAGAAGCTTGCCTTGTTGCACAGCGCTTTTGCGATAGGTATGTTTCCTTCATGTTTAAACAAAAGGCCAACCCCCTGTTTTCTGTCCTTGGCCTGTCCTAGAAATCCTATTCCGGTGAAAACACAGCCAGCGCCACCGCGCGCTCGGCCGCCGCCGTGGCCCTGTCCCTGCTCGTGCCGGTGCTGGCGCCCTC